GAGAGAGAGAGGAAAAAAAGAATTACTGACCATTAGAGCGTACTCAGCATGGCTAAGGTCCAGGGTCGTGGGCTAGGTCTGTGGATTTTCCGGCGCCCCACGGTCATCCCAGGCATATCTACTCACTGACTGATGCCCCAGTTAGGCTACTGGAGTGTGTCCTGGAAAGCTCAAGGAAAGGAGACGAGGAGTGAGAGGAGTGGGAGGGCTTAACACCCTTCTGGGAGAGGCTCCTGAGGGAGAGAGAGAGCGAGTCTAATTCTCAGCTCCTGAGGGAGAGAGGAAGGTAGAATCCAGCTCCCGGGTTTCAGCACCAAATCTTGTGTCCTTGGAATTGACCCCTGGTCACTCCCAAAAGGTGAAAGCAATCACACAAGACTCTACAAAGCGGAAGAACAGAGAGAAGGTGTTATTAAAGGTTGGGCAGAGAGTGAGTGTGTGTGCCCATGGCGGTGTCTGAAGAGGGCAGCGGCCCTAGGAGAGGCAAGTTAGGGGTTTTATATTTTTTTATGCCAGGTGGAGGGGGCAGAATATCTTGCAGTTGTTTATATTTGCAGCCGGCTCCTTCTGACTCATAGGCCTATTTCTGTAGGTTGAGTCAAAAACCCTCATATAACCAAACAATACTGAGGAATAGAATCTGCCCCAAACGTTCTCAGTCAAGTTCCTTTAGCGGCTGTTCACATGTGTCAGGCTTGAAAGAAAGGGGAGAATCGGAACAAGAAGTGCCCGCCCAGCCTTCCTTGGCTTGCTGCCACTTTGAGTTTACTCCTCAATCCTGCCAGGTGGGGGCGCTCCATGCCCACCCTGGGCAGAGCCTGCCCTCGGCCCTGCCCGCGGTTTTCCTGCCCGCCTGGCTAACAGTGTCCTGACCCCAGAGATTGTTCTAACATCATTGTTCGAAGGTCGAGTGCTCCTCCTGTCCGTCTAGGGGCATGTGTGTGACTCCCTGGAATTCTCCCGTTTCTTCTATCCTCTGGTGGCTTCACCTTACTGCCGCATACGGTCCCAGGAGGAAAAGTGGGGTGGCTTTCGGGGTGGTAGCTTTTAGAAGCCAGTGGTGGGTGTTAGTGACAGAATGGTCACCTGGAGCCATCGTGTCTGAGAGTCTGCACGGATCTAGACTCGCCAGGCACTTTGTATCCATTTTATTCACTGTGCTGATTGTTTGCTTATTAACTAAACGCAGCCCTGCATTCTCTGTGGTGAAGAACTTGCCATGTGACTGAGTGCCGTCTCATGCACACAGTGGAGCTATGGTTCTCTGCTGCAAAGGGGAACCCGTCCTCAAAGCTGTAGTAAGAGTAACCTTTGGGGGAAAAACTCTGACCCTCATGAAAACTTTCCCTTCAAAATGCCTCCTTCCAGGCATTCCGAGATGCCCGTCATGGTGGAAGATATCATGAAGCTGCTGTGCTCCATTTCTGAACATGAGAAAATAAAGACTGCCGTCAAGCACTCAAAGAGGGCCGCCGTCCTCGGAGCGTCTATAATCTTTGTTGGTGGCTTGGTTGGAGGCCCGCAGGGAATAGCCGTGGGTAAGTGCCAGTGCCTCACCGGGCAGCCAGCCTCGTGGGTGTGAGATAAAGGCCTCACGTCCACAGAGACCACACAGAAGTCTCTGTCGGAACCTGCCGACGGGTCGAACAGTCCCAAGATGGGGCGTGAGAATTAAGAAAAAACAAAAGACAAAAAGACAAAAAGATGGGATTGGGAGGTCTGACAGTCACTACTGTAACTGCAGCCCCGAGTTTATTTCTCACAACCTATTTATGGAGGCACTATGTGTGTGCAAAGCATAAAACCACACAATTAACAATATCACCCTCTGTCCCTGCTAGATAAGCCAAACCTCCTGTAGGCTAAGCAGTTATTCTAAGTATTCTTTCTCAAGGCTGTAATTGCACCCGGTTCCTAGTTCTCAAGAACTTGCTGTTCTTACCAGACTATAAGGATCTGCACAGCTCCGTCCTGTGTGAGGAGTTGCTGAGTTAAGGCTGTTCCTGTGACATGATCTTTGTGTCCATAACTTGGCTCGTGAACAACACAAGCTTCTGTGTGACTGTCTCAGATGCAGGGGGTCTTGAAATGGCACTGTGTCACGCAGACCTGGATGGAGGAACCTGTGCCCCAGGGATGTGTCCTAGAGTCTGCAGGCCTCAGGGTGACACTTGGGTAGCCCCCCTCGCCTGTCATCATTACAGGTCACCGCAGAGGGAACCAGGAGGCAAGGGAGCTGGGATGTGCTGGGCACCGACTACGATGCAGTTGGTTTTTTTGGACGAGGAGCAGGGAGAATCACCGTGTGGCCAAAACCACGGGCTGTGGCCTGAGCCATGGGCTGGGGTGGAGTTGGAGAGCTGGCTGGTCGGGCCTGACTTGGGGAGGGGCCTGACAGGGCCCACCTTGAGGTGCCTGTGATGGACCCTGCAACCCTGGGCACGTGCTGAAGGCGTGACCGGCCACATCAGCTCAGCTGCCTTTCCAGAGGCCCCCGCGGTGCCGGGCAGCCTGGGCCAGGGGGCAGGGCCTCAGGGCACAGGATTCTTGGGCTGCTCAGTCTGGTAGAAATCCCCTGTGCGTGCTGGAGAAGCGGCCACTTTCTGCTGAGGGCGGCCTCTGTCTGCAGCTCGCTGACAAGGCTTCCTGCTCTGTTCTTCCTTCACGGCAGGACTGACGTTCAAGGACACTGCATTAAGCTCAGGCCACATGGGGAGAAAGCGGGTCCGCATGTGGGCGGCCTCAGCCCTCCCATCTCTACATTCCCTTCCCAACTCTGATTAGTGAGTCCTGACTGCAGCCTCCTGCCATCCAGGAAGCAGCCAGGGAGGGAGGTGACACGGCCGTCCCTCCTTCCTCAGTGATAGTCCCTCTGTCCCAGCCTGTGATGTGCCCAGGGGACGGCTTCCTGGCATCACTTGTCACATGGCCTTGTCCGGATGCCATTTGGGAGCACACATTTTACTCAGACTCAGGGGAAGCTGGTGGGAACAGGATGCCAACAAGGGGACCGGGGACTGGCCACTGTCCCCAACTTGTCATGGGCTGGAGCCTCACTTTACACAGAAAACAAAGGAATTTTCTCTGCTCCAGGGAGCGAGTAATCTCCTGGTCTATATTCCTGGTGACTTCAGGAATGAGGTGCTTCTCTAAATCAAATATTCGTGTTCTCATGAAGGGTCAGTGCAGAGCAATGCAACTCCTGCCGGCTCTAGTGTCCTGGAGAAAGTTCCGGGAACTTGTAAATTCCTGGTTTTCCTCCCCGGAATGTTCCATTATTTGGGGCAGAGGGTATCCTGTCTGGGGGCCATGTGCAGCCTCCGGGACTTAAGGATGGCCGGCGTCTCACCAGAGGAGGTGTGTGCAGGGGTTACTGCCTGTCAGATGAGTCTGGCCTGCTCACAGGTTCTCTCTGGCCTGGGCTGCATTCTTTCAGGCAAACTTCTTTATTTCTGAACAGTATGAGATTTACAGAGAAGTTGCAAACACGGTGCACAGAATTCCCATGTATCCCTCACCAGTTTCAGTCCCTCTGATGTGAACACCTTATATTCCAGGTCCATGTGACAAAACTAAGAACCAGCACTGACACACTCCTGTTCCCCTTCTGCAGACTGTATGCGGTTTGTACCAGCTTTTCCATTACTGACCGTTTTCTGCTCCAGGGTCCAGCTCAGGGGACCTCGTTGCCGTTAATCGTCGTCTCCTTAGTCCCTGGCCTGTGACAGTCGGGGACCTTGCTGGGTTTTCACGGCCCTGAAATATCTGAGGAGTGCCGGTCGGGTGCTCTGTGGACGCCTCTCAGTCTGGGTTGCCTGGTCCTTTATCCTGATAGACGGGGTTACGGGTTTGGGAAGAGTACCGCGGAGGTGAGGCGCCCTCCCCATCGCAGCGTTTCAGGGATTCCTGACATCCACGGGCCTCCCTGGTGATGTTGACCTGACCACCTGGTTAAGGTCGTGTTTGCCAGGCTTGTCCCCCGTAAAGTCGCCGTTACAACTTCCTGTATGTTCTTTCGAAGAGTCAGGAAGTGCAGCCAGGCCGCATCTTTTAAATATGTGAGCACCATTATTTAAAAATCATGATACTCATAAAAGGTACAAACTCGTATTCTGCGTGGCAGCAATTGGCTGGCATATGGTAGCCGCTGCCCCTTTGGACAGGGACCGTGCTCTCCAGGTCCCCACAGGTCCATTCAGCCCATGTCACTGCTTTCAGTTACCTGCCTGGCCTCAGAAGGCACTTGATTGGAGACCCGGCCCTGGGCCCTTCCTGCTGCAGACCCGCCCTGACCGGGGTACGTGACACTCTCCGTTGAATCGAGGTCTTCCAGTCCCAACTGTGCCTGAACTTTGATGACAAGTTTGCATTTGCAGTAATGTTTGCACCCTTTGGGTGCAGCACAAAGATAAATAGTTGAGCACATTAAATTGCTTCTTTATCCTCATACGACTTTGGAAGTGTTGTATGGAAAACATGGCTTCACGAGAAAAGTCTCCTGACCTGTCCCCAGGGTCCATTAACCACGTGTGCTCAGAGGAAATTTCTAAAGCTCAGGGGCAAGGAGCCTATGAGGCACTCGGTGGAGGAAACTTGTGCCCCTGAGAGGTGCTGGCCATGCACTGGCCTCCCAGCCGTGTCCTTTCTGAGCAGAGAGATGTTGGTGGGAAGCGTGGGAACCTCCAGCCCTTGCAGAGGCTTTTCGGTAGCGGCTCTGGGCGGGGAGACGCTTCATGCTGCGTCGATGAGTGTGGGCCGAGGGCAGGGCGTGTTGGGGTGTCAGTTATCTGAGCTACACGGACAGAAGGAAGACCCATCAGCCTTTGTCCTCCGAGGGCCTGGCTGAGTAGACACGAAGCTGAGCCCACTGTGACACGGTCGTGAATACCCACTCGTCACAACGGGGACGCGCTCTGGGCCAGCACCTTAGGCCATCATTTGTGAATGCGGCCTGAGTAATTGACGTTTCTTTGTCTTCTAGGGGGCATCATCGGGGGCGTGTTAGGTGCCTGGATGACACGTGGGCAGTTCCAGTCAATTCCGCAGATCCTAATGGAGCTGCCGCCCGCTGAGCGGCAGAAGCTGGCGAAAGAGGCCACCAACATCCTCAGGGACCTGGAGTGGACAGATGCTGGGCAGCTGATCAGGAAGGTCATGGCCAATGAGGCCCTCAAGCAGAAGCTCCTGGCCATGCTGGTGGGCTACGTTTCCAAGTGGCTGAAAGCCTAAAAGTGCGGTATGACGACTAGGCAGCATGACGGGCTCTGAGAGGCAACGGGAGTGGGGGTGCCAGTCATCGTGTGTTACCTTAAGCTGGAGTGACAGCTCCTGCGGGACAGGCGTCCGGTGCCCTGTGTCCCGTTCTGTGGTGGCCTCAGGTTCTTCTGCTTGAACTTTGACAAAAGGTGTAATAAACTTCTGCAATTTTTGTTGGAGAAGTGAAGGCATTCCCCTATTTTTTGCGGCTCTTTGATTCATATGTTTGGCTAGCAATTTCCTACTCAACTGTTTCAAAACTAAACATCTTTTTATAACTTCATTTCCATTCTCTAGGTATAGCACTTGTGCATTAACTCCACTTACATTTTATCTTTCCCAATAAAATGTTTATCTATTTCTCCGTTACCACTTTCTTGATCACTTTCTGAAGAACTTTCTTGCTCAGTGTCAGAATGTTGGTGTTCTTCAGCTTGGTCTTCACCATCTGTGTCACTTTCATCTTCAAATTCAAGTTCATTTTCATCATTATCAGACTCCATGAACATCTGTAGCAATATCTCAGCATCTTTCGGGTCATCTGGATTATAAAATCTTTGAGGTTGAGGCATTTTAGAAGGTAAAACCTACAAAGGAAAAATATTACCCTAAAGATGAGCAGTTAATCTGTCAGATTAATTAGAAAATAAAATACCTAATTACTAAGTTTCAATAATAAAACTATACTTACAATCTCTTTCTAGAATGTCTGAAAGGATAGTACTATACAAAAAAATCGATTGAGAAAATATAAAAAATATCTCAATTGTCTGCCAGGGAGTGACATGAGAAAAAAAAATCTCAAATAAGTGCAACGAATCTGAGATTAAAGATGCCGCTATGAAATACGTCTTTACTGTACTACGTCACAGACACGACTGGCGATAGGTTACGGTAGAAAGGGAGATATGGAAGCGGTGAGTCACGTTACTTAAGTTAGCTGTTAGATATCTGAAAACTTGCGTGCAATGAATCTGAGATCAGTTGCACCGGATGGAGGGTTAATACGAGTGCATGGAGACTTCTTCAGCAATAACAATAAAAGTTATGCAGTGCTATGGACTGAACCGTGTGCCCCCCTAATTCATATGCTGAAGCCCTAACTTCAGCTTCTCCACGTTCGCACCAGGAAGAGGCCACGTGAGCCCACAGCAAGGCGGCGGCTGCCTGCAGGCCAAGAAAAAAGGCCTCAACATGAAACCACCTTCCTGGCACCCTGATCTTGGACTTCTAGCCTCCAGGACTGAGAGAAACAAATTTCTGTTGTCGGAGCCCCCCAGTCGGTGGTATTTGTAATGGCCTCCCGAGTAGACTAATGCATGCAGATACACATAGAACAATCTAGATGGCGTTTTTAAAAATTCTGTGCACCACATGCTAACAACAACACTACACACACCAGGGGCAGCTCTGCACTGCAGAAAAGGAAACATTCCACCATTGAACAAAACCCCAAATAGACCAATTTTCAACCCCGTCCCCGCCCCGGCCCCCCACCCCACACAAAAAAGCAACATTAAAGTAAAAACTCCTTGGAGAAAGAATTTCTATCCTATGAGCGATTTGAAATAAAAACTTCAGAATCATAATAGTGAGTCTCCCATAATTTTCTGTAATAAAGCACTTATTATAGCAGATAGGGTAATACAATCAAAGAAAGTCCTATTGTTCCAGTAACTGTGTAATAACTTTAAAAAGGATAATTATAGAAATACTTTCGTGAGAATTGCATGTGCAACAGAACCATGGAAAATCATTCTTCTCAGACTGAAAATAAGTCTTCCGGGTACAGAAGAACTCTTCAGTGAGACCTAAAATGGAAGACGAGGTGGATTTCAAAAAAGAGTCATTTATGGCAGCTCAGCCCTGCAAAGACCCCTCGGGGCCGCCTGTGACGTGTCGCCAGGGCTCCACCGGCTCTGAGTTACACACTTTCTTTGCAATACTAAAATCCAACAGTAGATTTTGGGTAGGGCACCTCTACATTCTTTCAACCAACAGATTTTAGGGTGACTCTCAGTTCTATCAAGTTCCTTTTGTAAATTCTACTTAAAATTTCTAGCTTTTTCAAACAGCTGACCCCCGGGACATTCTGCCAAGTTCAGGCCCTATGTTGCCAGCATTGCTGATGCTGACGCCCCCTCCCCCGCCACCCCATCCTCCACCCCGCTGTAGCTCACACAGCACTCCCCACCCATCCTTCTGGAGGACCTCGAGGTCCCCCCAGGCTGTGGAGAGCAGGGGTTCTCGTTCTCCTTCTGTAGCTGAGGAACCGGGGGGTTATCTGGATGGGCGCAGGGCACGGGGTCTGGCTGGAACCTGCACGTACAGCGTAAGCGCACTGTTGTTACTCAGCTTGTCTAGTCATTTGATGTGGCTTTGGGGACACTGATGAAAATCACCCAGAGGGGGGCCAAGGGTCTCCCATAAATCCCTTGTCACCACTACTGACTTCTAAGGCTCCATCCTGAGGACCTTGGTTCTTGAAAGACCAGGAACATGGAGGAAATTCACACAGCTCTGATGGAGGCTGAGGGGTTAGGGAGTATGCTGGGGAGATGCAGTAATAATAATAATAATAATAATAATAATAATAATAATAATTTGTGAGGAGAAGGACACACACTCAGTCCCGCAGCAAACACGTACACTGGGGCTGGTGACGACTAAAGGCACGGGATAACCATCTACAAATATTGGAAGATGCAAACACCACAGGAAGAAGATGAATTAAGTATTTAGAAGAACAGGGATGAAAGTTCAGGATGAGCCGTTACCAGTCCCAAAGCCACCTTGTCCCTGTTCAGAAGCAGGCTCTCCCAAGGCTAATGGAGGCGGCGGCGGGAGGCTCCCTGCACACAACTTTGACCCAAGCCACAGGCGAGCCGCTCTGCTCAGGCTGCCTGTGCGCTCCCCGTGCTGAGCGGGGACCAGTCACCACAGCCGGCACCTGTGGATCCCTGGTGCTGCGGGGTGAACTGTGTTACCCCAAAACGACGTCTTGCC